TAACTTAATTTGTATTACTCATATGCAGTTGAGCCAGTTTGCAATTAGAAATTATAGGATCAGAAAACATATAAAGTTAGATCATAAGTTTATATAATTTTAATATTTTATGTGTTCTGTACACTCTTTTCAAATTATGGATTTAGTAAACGAAAGTTTTACTTACAATAAGAAAAAACAAAGACCTTGACAAAAACTAGAATGCTTGGACAACAATTCTGATTTTCATGATATTGCCCCTGGAAACATCTTACACTTTCAGCTGTAAGCGAATTATAAAAGTGACAGTCAATCCCGTCATTACGTTCAAAGAGCCGGGCACATCTCTTGTAGCGATGTGTTCTGATGGCTGGCAACGTGCGTGTAAGGTTAAAAGTTCATTATATTGTTTAGGATTTTGAAACGCGGTTCAGGCGTTGACTTCACTTACTGAATCTTAAGAAATCTTAAGGATATTGAGATAATTTCTAGTATGTTGATCTTCTGAAATTATTAAAGAATCAATTAATTAAATTCATGTTTTAAAGAAAACATGAGAGAGTAAACAGAATTTCAGCCCTCACGTAGTCTTATTTCAACTGTCTTGCTCTCATAAAGAACTAGAAGACTCAAATGGAATGAGTTGTTTACAAGATATGATAACGTAATTATCAAGAATGACCGAAGGGTAATCATCTAATCGAAGCCACCAATCAATTTTCTAAAGATGTGAATTAGTTGAAAGTGCTGTATTAGACACATACACAACATGCCTTAATTTACAGGCTATAAGTAGGTTTTCTTACAGAAAGCTAAATGAACTGACAGATATAAAAACAACTTGTATTAAGTTTGTAATTTTATTACTGATTTTTTCAAGTGATAATTTTGTAATATTAATCAGTAAGTATGACTCTCTAGATATCTCCTGCAAATATAGCCCTACATTAAAGCTTTCAGAATGTACTTAGTTTGTAGAAAACAACTCATAACTTGTTGTGATGAATCACTGTGCCGTTTAATACCCACCAAGTTCTATCCTGCTCATTACTTTGATAGACTGGATGAACCACTGTAAATCTTAATACTCATTAAGCCCCTATTTTGCTTATTACCTCGATAGACTGGATGAACCACTGTACATCTTAATGCTTATTAAACTCCATTTTGCTTATTACCTTGATAGACTGGATGAACCACTGTACATCTTAATGCTTATTAAACTCCATTTTGCTTATTGCGTTGATAGACTGGATGAGCCACTGTACATCTTAATGCTTATTAAACTCCATTTTGCTTATTACCTTGATAGATTGGATGAACCACTGTGCATCTTAATACTCATTAAGCTCCATTTTGCTTATTACCTCAATAGACTGGATGAACCACTGTACATCTTAATACTCATTAAACTCCATTTTGCTTATTGCGTTGATCGACTGGATAAGCTACTGTACATCTTAATACTCATTAAACTCCATTTTGCTTATTACCTTGATAGACTGGATGAGCCACTGTACATCTTAATGCTTGTTAAACTCCATTTTGCTTATTACCTTGATAGATTGGATGAACCACTGTGCATCTTAATACTCATTAAGCTCCATTTTGCTTATTACCTCGATAGACTGGATGAACCACTGTACATCTTAATACTCATTAAGTTTCATTTTGCTTATTGCGTTGATCGACTGGATAAGCTACTGTACATCTTAATACTCATTAAGCTCCATTTTGCTTATTACTTTGATAGACTAAGTGGAATACTGATTCTTTTATTACGTACCATTCATAAAGCTCCATCTTACTTATTACCTTGATAGACTGGATGAACCACTGTACATCTTAATACTCATTAAGCCCCCATTTTTCTTATTACCTTGATAGACTAGATGAACTACTGTACATCTTAATACTCATTAAGTTCCATTTTGCTTATTGCGTTGATAGACTGGATGAGCTACTTTACATCTTAATACCCATTAAGCCCCCCATTTTGCTTATTACCTTGATAGACTAAGTGGAATACTGATTCTTTTATTACGGACCATTCATAAAGCTCCATTTTGCTTATTACTTAGATAGACATAGTGGACCACTGAATCTTTTAATATGGAACATTCATAAAGCTCCTTGTTGCTTATCGCATTGATAGACTGGATGAATTACCCTTATCTCTTAATACCAATAAAGCTCCATCTTGTTTATTACCTTGATAGACTGAGTGAACTACTGAATCTTTTAATACAAAACACTCATCAAGCTCCAAGTTGCTTATCATTTTGATAGATTTGAATATTTTAACTCTCTAAATAGAATTTTAAGTTACCGGCTTATATTTTCTAATACTATTTTACTTTCGCTTTTCACATTCTTTTTATTTAATTGTGTCACCAAGTTCGCTTTACAATAATCTTAACATTTTTTTTTTCCAAATGAGTTTGATATCTTTCTTTTTTTTGTTTCTAACACAAAATTTAGTTCAATAATAGAAATCAAAATGTCATAAAACTTTTTCTCAGTGCCACAGATGTTGTCTAACTTTAGTTGTAATAATAAATTTTCGTTTCCCGTCGTACGTCTGTATTGCGTCCATCATTTGTTATTGAGGTGTCCAGATTTTCGAATTCTGTGCCGGATATATTGGCTGTCTTGGCACATTTTATGGTCATCGTTATTTCTATCATTATTATCAATAAGATAATATTTTTGATACTAATTTTAAATTATAATTGACGTAAAACATGTTTTGATGATGATTTCAAGTTGCTGATTGAGAGTTTAAGGGATAATTGATGTTTTATCACATTTTTAGTGGCTCACTCGTGAGTTGGTCTGACATAACAATTAAGATCAGGTCATGAGGTTGATATTACGAGGAAGTGGATTTAAATCGTGCCTGACAGTTTGTTTATAGCTAAACAATATTATGAGATTTAAGTGCTAAATAGAGTCAGAACAGTGACCATCTAAAAAGATCTTGATCTACTTGTAAAATATCAGGGTTTTCCATTTAATGAGAGTATCTTGTTATTGGTGTAAGAAATATTTGTTACTACCTAAGTTTTGAGTATGCATTGCGGTAGCTAATGTTTATTTATTTGTTCTTATATAGTTGGGATGCTTGTGAACGTCTCTCAACTTCGTCATCACATATTTTTCACATATCATAACGCTTAGCAACGCCATTCACCTCAACCAGTTAACCATTGTTAAGATATCCATAATGATTCCCGAAAAAAGTTTGATCTGTTCTACTGTTTACAGTCACTAATGTTCCTAATAGGTAATGCATAGCGTACTAGTTAACATTTTCTGTCTACATACCTGAGTTATAACGTACGTTTAACATGTTAAACAGGTGAATACTGTGTTGGAGTTGTTATAAATCAAATATATTTAATCATAATTATCATCTATTGTTCTAGCACATGTACAATAGATAAATTGTTTTCTTCATGATACTGGCTTACCCTTTACCCGCATTTCTTGAACATTAAATAAATATTTACTTTTCTGGTTAATTTTTATGACACACGTAAAGAAACAGACTAACTTTACGTTTCAGTTGTATGCATGGATTATCCCATCTGAAATGTACTGTGTAGTATAATATCTCCTTAAACGTTGCCTGACTCTTCATGACAACGCAAATATATAAGGAAAACTGACGCAACATACGTAAAACTTCTTTTTTTTCTTTCTAGCTAACCAACCAATCAAATTTTTCTTTACCCCGCAGATTGTTGTAATGCCCGCCTAAGCCACTTTGTGATTGGTTTAAAGGTTTCAAGTGGGTTTCGACGAAAATATAAATTCAATGTTAAGAATGAAGACTAGAATTTGAGTACGAGACAGAAAAACACTGTTGCAAGTTTCTTTAGATTGAACTTGAATTAGTTGGTAGCGTTAATATTTAAAAACGTTTTCTAAAAAAGGCACTCACGGGTTTCGCGGTTGCGACCCGAAACTATTGTTTTTAATGGAACGTGCAAGCGAACGACGACACGTTTTTCAAAGTAGACGATGCTGTAGCACACCGGCAATGGCAAGTCTTCCTGACTTTCCTGACTCTTTCCTGGAGGACATCCGGGTAGGTCAAAACATTTTTTAATAACCTGCCTTATTATTAACACAATGATATGAATGTAGGCAAGAACTGATATAAAAGTAAATTCCTAAACCACATGATGCTTGAATTACAAATAAAAAGAAACGCACAACCACTAAAAACAGGGGATAAAAATGAAATTAACTAATTACTATATATGAAATAACGAATGATAAGAGTATCATCAAGCAATCATGGTGTATTTCCTAATTCGAAAAGTTAACGATTGTGGTTCACCATTATTTTCTATTCCTCCTTGCCTGCACCAACTATCCTAATTCAACACGTTCATCTCCAATCCATTTTTAAATACATGGAGTCAGGTGTGACAGTTCCTATCTCTTGCTCTTTCTACTACGATTTTACCTCTCAAAATCTCTGCCAGCCTACCCTCAGATCTAATTATATACTCAAAGTAGCGTATCCCTCGTTTCCTTCATAGATCTAGCAGTTATCCTTTTGCCATTGCAGTTCCAATATTTCCTTATAAGTTTTTCTGTCTATGTAGCTGATCTTCACTATTCAACATTTCAATGTGGGGTATTATATAGTATAGTAAAAATACACTTCTGCATTATGTATTTTACTGTAGGGACGCTATATACATAATGTACGGTCAGTGTGAACGTTTTATGTCATTGAATCATACCTACGTTCAAAATGGTACCCAGAACTTACAATTACATAATTTATAGGGTTATGTGTTATCTTAATATTATCTGCCTCCTCGTATAGAGAGATTTCATCACACTAAATAGAGACAGAAAAAAGAAATTACCAAAACGTTGGTATCATTAAAAGCATATTAAATGTATCTAACAAATAGAAGTCACTTAACAATTAACAAATACTACAGTATGGTGTTTATGTAAGGACTTGTAACTAGTTGACTAATTAACGGTGTAGTGAATAATTTCTAGAACCGTGTAATTAACACAATATGAAGATAGAAAATAAAAATTATTGTAATATTTAAAATAATTTAAAAACCGGTGAGCGTTGTTGTAAGTAATATATATATATATATATATATATATATATATTTGCATAGTCATGTTTAACGGACTCCTTATAAAGGAAGGGGGAGTGTCATATTGAAACAATGACCACGTTTCCTTATCATCCCAGCATTTACAAACCTTTTTATTTCAGGTTATTTAATACTTTGTGTATTCAGTTACTGACCACTAGCCTCCCAATGGCACAGCGGTATGTCTGCGGACTTATAACGCTAGAAACCGGGTTTCGATACCCGTGGTGGGCAGAGCACAGATAGCCCATTGTGTAGCTCTGTGCTTAACTTCAAATAAACAATACTGATCACCAAAAACTTTTCTTTTTGAATCGTATAGATCCAATATAACTTTAAGACAAATGAGTCTCATGCATGTATGTTGTTTCTGGTTGACATTTAATCACCACAGTGAACTCATATTTGTATAGGATTTGAAAAATATATAACATCAGTGCTCAGAGTGAAGAGGGGTGGAATTCCCCAAAACCGGTATAACTCAGCGATAAGCGTTGAGTCGAATGGTAGATTGGGTTTCATGTTTGTTTTTAGTGTCTTAAACAGCTTGCCTGCTGAATAATTCAGAAGAATAAATTAGTAGCATCAGTGTTGTATATACCTCAAATCATTTGTAAGTATAGATACCCTCCAGTGAGTAAAGAAAAGAAACAAACTAAAAACATTACATATATATATATACATATAATAGATGGCTCACAATTATAAGAAGCTTAATCTTGTTGTTCTTATATTCCTTTGTTTGAGGTTACAGATGAGCATGCTGGTGAGCTAGCTATCAGGTCACCGAGTTCCGGACCTCGGTTAAAATTAAATGTAACGAACCATTTAACTTAAAAACACAAATACTGCGGAATGGCCCTTGTGGACCCTTGTAAGGCTGACTCTATGTGCTTGCTGGTGTTTGGACCTCTGGTAAGTTTCCAGTTTAGCTACGTCCATGCTGATGAGGGGTGAAATTCCCCGAAACCGGTGAATCGAATGGTAGATTAGGTTTCATCTTTATTTTAAGTGCACTACTTATTGACATTTCATAACATAAATAACAGCAAAAATTGTTGTCCAGAAATTTGATAACCGAACCGGTGCTTCGGTTCTTACCTCTTCCAACCAGTTAGAAAAGTATAAAGCTAAGGAAAATGTTCATGTCTTATATAACCACAAAGGCACTTATACCATTCTTAAATGTTCATTCTTGATATCTTTAAAGAATTAAACACATAGTATTTCTGGGTTTTTTTTTTCACTTAAAAGTTTTGTGGATTCAAACATATTAACTTTGCGTCACTAAGGATATTTGATTCGTATAACACATTGAGATAGCTATTTAACTAGTCTGTACATATTTTACATTGAGCTCGTAGTCGACTTTTATATTCATTATTATCAACTCAATGACAACGACATTTGAAGGTGTTAAAATAATCATTTGAAAGCGGACTTAGTTGAGAATGGAATAACTTCAGGCCTTAAAATAGTAAGTGTATATGTATATATATAGGTGGAACAATTGTCTTAAAAGTGATCTCAATATTTTTCGCCAATGAAAACAAGTTTTTCCCATACTAACTCTTGCTTGTAATGTGTGTACTTGTAGACTACTTGCAGTTCAAATGCTTTTAATAAAAGTATCTCAATGGAAAAATGGAGCTGCTTTAACAAGGTGGCCAACATCAAAAATGGGTTACGTTACATTAAAATTTGCTTTCGATGTGTGTATTTGTAAACTTTGTTTATTTGTTTGTGTTTAAGAGCAAAGACTGACAATGTTGTGTTCACCACATGTATCGAATCCCAATTTTTAGCGTATAAGCCATCAAGCTTATCACTGAGCCATTGAGGGTGGGCACGTAAAGATTACTTATAGTGTAAATGCTTTTTAATAAGATTGTCTGTACGGAAAAATAAAGTTTTTAAACAGAACTGTCAATATCTAACCTGTTTCAGCTAGGTACTGCAGGTTACATTGAAACTTGAAGTTTGTCCCACCACTGAAAATCCTTATTTCAAGTCTTGCTTCAGAAATATCTTTAATTTCAAAACTACAATTGAAAGTCCATATTTTTAAAAAATTTGAAGTGAAAAAAATGTGCATCCACGTATCTACAGTGTGCACGTGTGTATTTAGTATCACACAAATTATCATGATCTCATCAGATTATAATATAAGAGATTATAAGTTTGTACCTACATGCGAATGTTTGCTAAAATTTATCTTAAATTAATAAGAAAGGCTTAAGCCAAAGATACGAGAATCAACTATGATACTAAGTTACATCATCATCATTAATCACAGGTTAAAATTTTATTATTATGAAAACAATCACTATTGACATTTGGTTAACACGGAGTGAAACTAATATTATGAATTTGGTTTCGATAAAACTATGATCTACCTGGTTATGAAAGGGAAGTGTTCTACGAAAAAAGTAAGTGGGATTCTAGCTGGGACGAAAATATTGTAAATCAGTAACAACAGAATAAATTATACTATGGATTTTTTTAACATCTCATAGTCTTTTTTATATGGTTTGCTTAACAAAATGTAATGTTTTTGATATTTGTAAGTCAGTTTTTTGAAGTTTTGGTACTCGGTAGGTTAGCGGAGGACAGATCACATATAACCTAACGTGTAGCTTTGCGTTAAAACAAATTCCAGCTTTCCATAGCAAAATGTAACATTTTGAGCATTTTAACTCTGATTTTACTATTGTAGCTACCTAAAAATGATACATTTTTTTCAACCCAATAAACAATTTTAGATTCAGCATGACCATAATAATAAAATTAGCGTATTTTGATTGGACTGATATAGACATGGTGGGTTTAAGTCTCTGGCATCCCGAGCTGTGTGAGCATTTAGACTAAAAAGCAATAATATGTGTCTTAATACCTTGTTATCTACCCTACAAACACATAATCATTAATTACAAAGAACGTCGCCATTTTTCATTATATGATTTGAATAATGGTATATTCGTGAGACGTAAGTCATATCATTATTTGAATAATGATATATTTGTGAGACGTAAGTCATATGGTTTCAATAATGGCATACTGGTGAAGACGTAAGTCATATGATTTTAATAATGGTATATTGATGAGACGTAAGTCATATGATTTGAATAATGGTATATTGGTGAGACGTAAGTCATATGATTTGAATAATGGTATATTGGTGAGACGTAAGTCATATGATTTGAATAATGGTATATTGGTGAGACGTAAGTCATATGCTTTGAATAATGGTATATTGGTGAGATGTAAGTCATATGATTTGAATAATGGTATATTGGTGAGACGTAAGTCATATGCTTTGAATAATGGTATATTGGTGAGACGCATGAAATTACGACGTTAAAACTTTTTGGTTAGTCCGCTTGTTTCATCTTCTTATTCTTCTGATATTGCCAGTCTTCACTCTGGCTTACAGTTTAGTATTGAAACACTGACAATAAAAGTTCAGATTAAAATGTATAAACACTTTATTTTCAGGTTAGTATATTATCATTTAACGACATTTGACTACTTGATTTAAGCAAGTATATTTATTTGTTTGTTTAATATTTTGGTATTTTCGCACAAAGCTATACAAGGGCTATCTACGGATAATCGTCTCTAATTTTGAAATGGTAGATTAGACGGAAGGCAACTGTTAGTCAACAGCACCTACCGCCAACTATTTGTGCTGCTGTTGAATGACCGATTTGACTGCCGCTCATATAGCACATCCACAGCCCCAAAGCGCGGAACACGTTTTTGTAGCGACGGGATGCGAAATAGGTAATCATCGGATTCACATTCTAGGCACACTAACCAATAGACCACGCTCAGCACTTTTATTTGATAAACCCTGTGAAATTTCGTCTGGGCTAAGAACAACTACCTCAAGAGTTAGGGTAATTAACAAATTATATTGTCTACTAATTATTTGGTATACGAAAATAAATTAGACTATGCTAAAGATTGGGTTATGTCTTAATATTCTGTATGAGTAACAAAGTTTACCATCATTAAATTTTGTTCAGTGGAGAAGATGTTATTTTACTTTAATGACAAGTTTTAACCAATTGTATTTAAACTATTTAAAATAACACATTAAAGTGATACAATAGTTTTTAGAATGGGAAGGGACATCGGTTGTTTCTGTGGTACAACTCAAGATTTTTGGAGATGACGAGCCAAATTAGAATTCGTGCGACTTCATAAAACATTTTCCGTACTTTAAGCTGTGAGTGTGTTATAAGAGTTACCGTCAATCCCTTAGTGAGGACGGTGAGTGATGTTGACTAGCTGCTTTCTCTATAGTCGTTAGTTTAAAATTAGGGATGGCGGCAGATAGCCTTAGTAGCTTTCCGAGAAATATAAACTACGAATACAAATACAAAATGGAGGTACACATTATCATTTAACGTTAAAGCACTCGTCTTTTCGGTTATAAAACTGTCTATGGATATCTGCATGATTAAAAATGATAAACTCAAATAGGTTTATAAAGGATACTACAACCGTTTTTGTAGTATTTTCTAATTAGTTATTCTTTTTAAAAAATCTAAAGGTGAAGTTGAAACGTTTCCCAAGCAAGACCATGTGGATGTAAGCCAGAAGGAAATTGACTTCACTACTCTGCTTATATAAAAAAAAAAAGTTTGTTTCTTGAGTTTAGTGTAAAGCTATTCGAGGTCTATCTGTGCTAACCGTCCCTAATTTTAAAGTGATGGATTAGAGGAAAGGCAGCTAACCAATAACAACCACCACAAACTCTTGGGCTACTTTTTAGCAACGGATAGTGCGATTGATTATCACATTATAACACCTGCATGGCTCAAAGGGGGAATATGTTTGTTGACGAGGTTCGATTTTGCGACCGCAGATTGTGAGTCGAACGTCCTAGCAACCAGGACATGCCACGACGCTTATCAAAGAGATGTTTTAGCCAAGTTATCCAGTCTTCACTTCTTTATAAAAAGTGCTAACATCAGAGATGGCTACCATCTTTCAAATCCTATGATTAATCTACAATCGGCTTTGTATAGCTCAAAGAACAGCAAGAGCATCCAAATGGTGAATCATTATAGCTTTGTTATGGTTTTGCATATACCTATTGAGATAATATTTAGTCAGCGTAAGTAATTTTTTAATCAGAAGTTAATGATAATTGATGAACACATCAAACAAGATAAGTATGCTAATTGATACTCGATAGATTAGGTGTTAAAAGAACCTGCACAACAAGCAGAATAACGGTTCGAATCTCACCTAGTCTTGATGTTCAGTCGTTAAAAAGTTTTAACATTTTATGATAACGAGAAACCGATATTGTTTGAATTTATAAAAAGGAAAAAAAAATGAACGAAGAAAGAATTGAAAGTAAGTCTTTTTTTTTCGGAGTGAACATTTCTGCTTTAGTATGTTCTACACTGTATAAGCTTCATCCTAAATGGTAAACACATATTCATCATTAAGAAGTATTAAATATAATTCAACTTATGTTGTCATTCTTTGAAAATTAATTAAAATGTTTATAAAAATAATAATTAATTATTTTTTTACACAAAAGGGACCGCATTTTCTGATTCTCTAAAGAAAGATGTTTTCATTTGATATTTGTCCAACAAGTGTGGGAAGGTTTCCTTGTCTACAGCAAGAAAATCTGGAAATTTCAATGTCAACTGTTATCTCGCTGTTTGGCTCTTCTCGAAATAATCAGCGTCTAGTAATTTCCTTTCCTTGCCAAAACTATGTATCCAAGCCGTTACTATGGAAACAACTCGAAGGCGAAATAGTTGGTTCGTGAAACTTGCCGTTATAATATCAAAGAATGTGTCACACACAAAGTTGTCACTTGGAGCTCGGTCCTCAACACCTGATGCCATTAGTAGTTTTGTTTGGAATGCCACTTGCTTGTGACTTATTTTTCGACTTTCTTGTTAACGAATAGAACTTAAGATAGGCGATGATACAGAAAATTAAAATGGGCAACTTCACGATAAATATTTTACTGAATATTTCAATTCTGATTTTAAAATAAATTGTAAGATGTGTTACAAAATCAATAAGATACAGAAGCTCTTTAAAAATGAAAGATATATTGGAGCCCTTTTAGAACTATATTTACTTCATGAAATCATAATTTACCTTAATTACTTTAAAAGGACTGGATTTTCATATAGACCATAACCTTTGCTTTTGGGAAAGAACAAAAGACAAAGTTTTAGTTTGTATCTTTAAATGGAAAATATTTCAAATTATACTATCTGCCACTAGAATAACGTGCCTACAAATATATCTTATTCTTGATTCATTGTAGTATTAATCAATCTCTAATTTCAAAGGGACAGTATAAATTATGGTTTATCAAATATCAATACACCATGTAAATACATTACTTCCAGCAATAATTGGCACTGACTGTTAACTTGATCCATCGTGGTTTATCAAATGCCAGTACATTATCCAGCCAATACATTCACTACAACTAACAATAAGTGACAATTTCCATAAATTTCATTCATTGTAATTTACCAAATACTAATACAGCAGTTAAATTTACTACTGAAACTAACACATTTATTCTTAAATTCGTTCGCTGATCTCTTCACTGCAGTATTTTTACAGAGCAAGTAAGAATAATAAACAGAAAAAATAACACAATAATTCTTTAGCACAAAACTCTAAGAAAGTCACGACAAACAGCATACAAGCGTGTAAATGCTCTAGTCAACGCAATTAAAAATCTTGGTAAATCATTGTCGAGAATGCTTTTTCTGATTGGACCACAACCACATGTTCAAACCTCTAACAGTGCCAATAAAGATCCCACCTTTCTGAGCGAGTGGCACGTGCTGATATACGTCAAACTTTGAAGCCTATTATTACTTCCTGTTCGAGTCATTTTTAGAAGGTAAAATAGCGTCTGTTATCATACCTGCAGAAAGTAAGCGCGAATCATTAAAATATGAATAGAAATAACAGTTTTCTTTTAAAGAGACAATCAAGATGAAGTGTTCGAGATAAACGACTTCCCAACCCTCATTACGTGAGGTCTGGCGCATCGATGATTGAATAACAAAGCCAGGCGGTAGCTGATAGGCTCCCTGATGCAGAATAATGGACGGAATGAAATATTTGCTGGCACGAGACAGAATATCAAACGACAGCGAGATGACCCATGTGCGACAAGAAGGGCAGAAGAAACTGTTAGTGATAACCTACGTATTCTTCAGGGTTATTTTGCGACGACGCTGGCTATCTGCTTCAGCGCCTTTCACGCTCCCCATTCTTTTTTCTCTCTATCCTCAGTAGTATTTGTTCTGCTTTAATTTTACGCCTGGTGGAGAACATCAACATATGAAAGGTTATATAACAATAAATTTACATAATGACCATATATACTGGAATGTATTCATATAGCCACACGTTATGTTCTGTACTGTTACGAATGTAATTTATTTGAAGAGAGAACGGTTTGATATTCTGTTCATGCACGTTAACTCCTATGTAATACTTCAACAATATATTCTAGTTTGTAGAATATACATTGAACTATTTCCAAATATTCTGATTTATATTTGAAACAGTTTAACGATTTAAAATTTGTTATTCTATATGGATATCCCCCCCTACTAGTTTCCGTTTGGTAATAATATGCTACATTTCAAACAATTTTGTGTACAAAATTACTTACAATTCAATTACTTTTAAAAATGCAATAAGAGGTCAACCAAAAATGGTCTAACTCTTACGTTTGATGTTATAAGTTTTGATACCGTTTCGAGATTGGTATAAATCAGTCTTTATTACCCTGTCTCTCTCTCTCTACTTATATTAATTAGCAATAAGAATATTTTGGTTCTGTTTTATATCACAAACCCTTTGTGTTTGCTATTTTTTTGTCTCAATAACCAACTTTATTTATTTTATTAAATAATGATATAGCTTTGAATTTTCAATGTTTTTTTTCATCGATAAAGAAATACTTATTAAATTATCATAATTTTCGTTAGTATTAACAAAATCACATTGAAATAAAATGGTACAATTTTTGTTTGTTTGTTTATTCTGAAACCATACGTGACAAGTAAATAACATAATAGTCTTACCAATAATATCACTTCTATATCCAAATATATTTTACCCCTTTTTACTTAGAATATTATACCCAAATTCTATAATTTGAAGCTGTATTTATTTTATGTGACATTATAAAGTTTTCGTAATTGTAAGTTTATTAAATCCATTAGCTACTTCAAAATATAATAAAAATTGTGATACCAGAAATAAAGCGTGTAAGATAAGTTAGTTCTGGTTCCTTGTTTCAAATAAGTTATACTAATTTTAATACTTGATTAGAGTAATTTTCTATGCTAAATAGATTCAGCGTGTAAATTATTTTAACTAAAACAGATTATCCATCTTGCTTCCAGCGAAAAATTGCAGCATATACTTTTAAAGAGGAAGAAACCAGTGACCAAACGATTCCAAAACCAGTTGACAAAGACAAAGATTCATCAGGACAGAAGACAGTTGAGGACACTTCAAGTAAAAAACCAGTGGAAGATATTGTGAAAGATAAACGATCAGCAGTTATTTTTTCACTTCGCAATCAAGTGGGTGGTTTGGTTCGTGCTCTTCGCGTATTTCAGGTAACTCGGTGAATGCACTGTGTCATTTTGAGTAACTAAGGTTTAGTTTCAAGCTTGTTTCTCGGATAGAGTAATTAAAGTTTATTTTCAAACTTATTTGTCAGATAGAGTAACTCAACTTTATTTCCAAACTTGTTTGTCAGATAGAGTAACTAAAGTTTATTTCCAAACTTGTTTGCCAGATAGAATAACTAAAGTTTATTTTCAAACTTGTTTGCCAGATAGAATAACTAAAGTTTATTTCCAAACTTGTTTGTCAGATAGAGTAACTAAAGTTTATTTCCAAACTTGTTTGCCAGATACAATAACTAAAGTTTATTTTCAAACTTGTTTGTCAGATAGAGTAACTAAAGTTTATTTCCAAACTTGTTTGCCAGATAGAATAACTAAAGTTTATTTTCAAACTTGTTTGCCAGATAGAATAACTAAAGTTTATTTCAAACTCAAACCTGCCTGTACTACTAAGAAAGAAATTCATATTATTAAAATGTAAAAAACAACAACAAAGCAAGTAATAAAACATACAGCATTAAAATAAATACAATTTAAAAGATAGACAAATAACTGTTAGTACATATGAATAGCAAATATAGATAAAAATCATTGGTTGTATGTGATGTAGTACAGACGTTAAGTACGTTATGTTAAGACGATTTTGAAGATGCAAATCAGCAAGTCATGTGACAACTAAAGCCGATATAAAGTTACACTGAAACGGCATATGTTAGAAGTACATTTAATATTGGCCTTCCGCAACGTAGTGTGATGTCACCAAAAAACTAAGTGCTTTTTGTAAGGGTATGTAACAAAGCTTTCCAATACAAAACATTCATACAGTTAGATCATAAGATGTGTTCAGATTGGGGATTTAGATATCGCTTGTGCTTAATGACATTGGAAAGAATATGGATCAACTTAAGACACCAGGATCGTCTAGAAAGACACCTGCAACAAGACGTATCCCAGTTGTGGTAAGCTAAATATGACGTCTTGTAACAGGTGACAATCCATGAACAGAAAGGTCAGTAGCAAAACCATTCATGTTCTACAGGTAACAATACGCAACATAATCAAGAAAGATTTTCCGTCTGAAATGCGATACAAGTCACGTTTACACAAATTTCTTCCACGACATATTCGTTCAACCATCGCATATGTCAAGTAGCTGGATAGCGAAAAGGGTATCCATGCTATTGCATACGAAGATATACCGGTAAAGTCGTCGAACACAGCACCTATGAATTTCTGTACGATCAGACTGTTGAAGTGGAAGCTGGAAAATTGTTGCCCTCATATGCTAGATGGCTTATGGAAAGAAGGCAAGGAACAGTGATGTATTTTGACCATGAAAGCTTTATGACGGAGCCTTTTGTAACGGAAACTACGCAGCAGAATTATCAATTAAGATGCACGGTCGTCGGATGGAGCTTGTACGGACGTGGCGACATGGACTGTAACGAAGTAGTGAGGCTCCAAAATTATTTTAACATAATATACTCAACCTCCGAATACATTCTTCGAAGTTAAATGCTATTAGTGAAATTTGGTGTGTGTTTTTTGGAAATTAACAAAGTATTTTCTCAATTTTTGTAAATTTCTTGACAATTGTTGTGTGTGATTCAATCTACGTACAGTACAAATCTTTAGGTAACATTATTTCAAAGCAACGTGACTGAGAATATTGATGAAAGCAGCCAAATACTTCTGAATGCTGACCATCAAACACTATTTTTTTTCGATAGCAAATTTATTGCAGCACTTAAAAGTTTTCAAAAAGTTGAATTGATCTTCTAATAATTAATCAATCGTTTTGACTAAAAATAATTATTTTAAGATACTTTAAATAAAAGTATAAATTTTTCTGATTACTTGTTTTTCAAGGAAAAGAACGTGAATGTGAACCATATTGAGTCTCGTAAGTCACATCGTAAATCGTCACAATACGAAATCTACGTGGATGTCGAATGTGAAAAAGGACAAATGGATGACTTGATTCACACGCTACGTCACGAAGTGGACTGCGTCACACTAGAGGAACTTGAAAGTGGTTCAGTGGATCTGCCTGAAATGCAACCAACTACTCCCACTAGTCCAGGACTCTATACTGGTCAGTTTGTGAAATTATTATACAGAATATGTAAAACTTTGTGGTTCTAGGCAGAAGAATGTAAAATAATTAGCTCTCACTAGTCCGGGACTCTATCCTGGTCATTTCGTGAAATTATTATACAGAATATGTAAAACTTTGTGGTTTTAGGCAAATGAGTGTAAAATAATTAGCTCCCACTATTCAGGAACTTTATCCTGGACATTTCGTGAAATTATTATACAGAATATGTAAAACTTTGTGGTTTTAGGCAAAGGAGTGTAAAATAATTAGCTCCCACTAGTCCGGGACTCTATCCTGGTCATTTCGTGAAATTATTATACAGAATATGTAAAACTTTGTGGTTTTAGGCAAATGAGTGTAAAATAATTAGCTCCCACTATTCCGGGACTTTATTCTGGTCATTTCGTGAAATTATTATACAGAATATGTAAAACTTCGTGTTTTTAGGCAAAGGAGTGTAAAATAATAAGCACAGTGTGCTCGTAACTTTAAATTCGATTAAAAATCCAAAAGAACACCAGTAGTTTGTTCCAAAAACACTTGTTGTGTATTTAGTTTGAACGTTCTTGTATGTTCATGCTTAAGATTTTCCAAAAAGTACTTTTTGCTTATATATATATATATTATCTAAATATTCCTAAATTGGATCAATACTGGTACAATGTGGGCAGTTTAATGAGTTTGTTTAATAGCCTATTACATACAGATCTCAAAAATATGTGTGTGAACGTAATTGCAGATATATTTATTATTTTCATCAACTTAGTCTCACTTCCTCAAAACTTAGGGATTTCAAGATTCTAATGAGATTATCAGATCAAATTATATGAAATTTATTTTTTACTAGCTGGAGTATTCGTCCGTTGGATGAGTGAAATAAAAACTCGTTTGTAACAAAGGATAGAAAATTGTGCTTCTATTTTTTTTCTTAACATAATAAACATTAAAAGTGCAATAAAAATAAATAAAGGTACCAATACTAGAAAGAAAGAATACTGTTTCACGAATTCTATCAATATGAAATTAAATGGGGGTTCCAACTCCCTTCATGACCTTCCTCATGTCATACTGTCTCACTGTGTCAAGTGTGGTGCTGATTGACCAAGAAATGTGGAAACTTATAAGGAACAACACACACACACACACACACACGTATCGACGTATACTTATATAGATTTATTTTAAGAACTTCGTTTGTTGTTAAGAGTAAAGTTGAACAATGAGCTGTACTGTGCTTGCTTAGGGATTAAACCTATATTTTTCATACTATGTGTAACTCCCCAAACTTCAGCTGAGACACTGAGGGAAGGGGCTTTAAAAATCTCACGAGTTGAAAATAATAACCGCACACAATAGAGAAAGGTAAACAAATCCGCGTATCCAAATATTGTATACATACACACATATATATATATAAACAGAAACAGCATTAAATTGTACATTTCCAATTATTCCAAAACTCAATCACCGTCTTGAAAATTATCCATGCAATGTAATAACTGTCTTTCAAAAGACCCCTTTCAAAGTCATGTCATCACTGACAACTTTGATGTTGTGCAAGGCTATGATATGAAAAAATATTCTTGGTCATGTGCTGAATTCTACACTAAATAGAGCTATTCAGCTGCTATTAATGTAAAAAAAAATGTGAATAAATATAGTAGCAAAATCACCAACGGACTAGATATACAATCCAAGTTACTATTCGAAACAGAAATGCTGAGTAATGGCTGTAATCATTTCGTGGTTCTATAATTCAAGTAACAGATTCTAAACCTTCAGATATATGTATGTATGTATGTATGCATATATATATATATATATATGTATGTATGTATGTATATATATATATATATATATATATGTATAGACTACGATATCAACCTTATTGATTAATAAAAGACCACCTTTGTCTTCATTAGGCAATACTGTTGGAGTGAAGTGTTATTTAAAAAATCCAAAATACTAATCCCTATCACCTTATTCCAGAAAACGAAAAAAGATGAAACCTAAAAAAAAATCATTGTGTTATCACGAATGTAAATATATTAATTCTAGTGGGATAATCTAAATGACTGTGGTTTCACCTTTCATTAACTCGATGATACATTGTTAATAAACAATAGCGATATTATTATAGATGTTAGTATAGCTTATCCATATTTCATTTTAAACTAACTCATTGAATAAGATATATGGAGTAGTGAAGTGATGATTAAACATTAAACGTTAAATCGTAACGAAATATTAAATTCAAAAGCCTTCTCATCTTATTTCGCGACAAAGTATTATCCATCGAAATCGTTCCATTAATTTAAGTTGTATTCTTAAGTTCGTTCAAAATTCTTGTAAAGGGGGCGTTGAGTAAAGTTTGGGTATAATACAGACTCTTTCTATCAACGGTTTAGAGCTACAACTTAATGAAACGAGTTCCAGAGTTATTTTGTTATTGCGGAAACGTCCAAAATTCAACTGAATGAACCATTAATGTCGTAAATTTCTGTTTCACTAATTAAATTTTTGTATTTCCAATACTTAGTATATATAATTAAATAAATCATAATAGTTAAGTAAAATTATGTGAATATCCAATATGCAGTATAATATTCTATAATACAATGGATATATTATATATATACGTATATTTATAGAAGTAAATATCCAACGTACAGTATAGTATAATATTATATATATGTGTGTGTGTGTGTGTGTGTGAATACCAAATATACAGTATCGTATAATATAGTACAGAATATGTGAATTAGTACTTTCATGTAGAACCCCACAGTGGACAGCGGTATGTCTGAGAATCCGGATTTCGATACCCGTGGTGGGCAGAGCACAGATAGCCCATTGTGTAGCTTTGTGCTTAATTACAAACAAACAAACTTGCATGGAGTTCATATCTCTTGAATTTTTTCCATTGCGTCTTTAACAATAGGAGAAATGTGATTACCTGTGGTTGTGTTATGTGTTGGATTTTTTTTTTTAATTATGAACTTTTCATTTAGTTCTCTCCTTACATTGTCG